ACATCTGCTCGTCACATATTTTAGTTGGTTTATAAAGAGAACCGTTCGAAAAATCACACCATATGACCGCAAATAAGAATATATGCATGTAATGTTATTACAGGCATTATTCATTCAACGGATTTAGAAAATGCTGACTATTTTAACCAGTTTTTTTTACAAAATATTTTAATGATCAAGCAGATAATTTAGAAAAAGAATTATCAACATTCGCTGACATTGATTAGAAAATGCAGAATAATAAATCATGTTGGCGAACACAAAAGGACTAGTCACCCTTTTTTAACCCAGTAAAAAAAAAAGTATTCAGAATAGAGAAAAAGTATTGGTGGAGACGTTCGGTGAATGCGTTTTCGCGACAAAACCGTATTGGTGGGTCACGGTGAATACATTTCGCTTACCGTGAATACTTTTTTTTAAACTCTCGATTTAAAGATTCCTAAGCAAAGTTGAGAATATTTATAAAGAGCGTAAGTGACCTGAAGTATAAAAATGACTATTGCGAGAAGGAAATAAGAAATTTAAAAAAAAAACGAAAAATTAAATGTGACAAACAGATTGTCAAATGTTGATCAATTACCATATGCTTTTCTGTGCCTACAACGTATGATGATTAAAAGGAACTTTGACGTTACCGGCGGAACTTACTGTTTCACATACATTTACTTGGATTTCTCAAGTTTCTGTCGGTATCGTCAATGTTCCTTTTCATCATCATACGTTGTAGGTTTGTCACATTTAATTTTTCGTTTTTTCTCAAAATTTCTTATTTCCTTCTCGCAATCGTCATTTTTATACTTCAGATCACTTACGCTCTTTATAAATATTCTCAACTTTGCTTAGAAATCTTTAAATCGAGAGTTTAAAAAAAAAGTATTCACGGTAAGCGAAATGTATTCACCGTGACCCACCAATACGGTTTTGTCGCGAAAACGCATTCACCGAACGTCTCCACCAATACTTTTTCTCTATTCTGAATACTTTTTTTTTTACTGGGAATTACTTTCTTGAAATATATTATATAAATCAAATAAACCATCCATTAAAACATTAAAAAAAGGTGAAAAAATGAATTATTCTGCCCTCAGTTTCTAAATTCTTTACTAAATAATATCTTGCCGTATTTCCCTGTTGTGTCTAGACTTGTAATCCAAATTTACGGTATAAGACCAAATTCCCATAACGTCTTAGAAAATTGGTTTGGTTTTGTGAAAAATATAGTTTGTCAAAAAAATAAAAATCCTTATACCAAGATTGATTTAACGACACGAGAAAACTTGGCTAGGTCGCCTTAATGAAGTGCTATATGGATTGAAAACGACTAGACAATTGAAATGCTATAGACCAGAAAAAAAGGACAAGAATTAAAAATATATTTGGTTGAGTGTAATTAACACTCACCTTTAAAATGATAGTTTGATCAAAACGGGGAGTTTAATAGTTTTAAAGTTATAAAACACTTTTTGAGCCGCTGCATGTCGTTACGCCACACAGTGGTTTGAAATTTAAAAGTAGGGTTCAAAATAACTTAGAGTCTACAAATCTTAACCGATTTTAGATTTTCTTTTTTCTAAATAATCTTGATTAAATTGCTAAGAGATCGCTCGACCTGAAATTTGTTACTCGGGGTTTGTCGGTGTCGCTGATTACGAATATGATAATGATTTTTTAAAATCCAAAATGGCGGATTCAATATGGCAGACATTTTAAAAAAAAATTTTGGATTCGCTTGAAAATTATCATTCGGGGGTTTTTGGGGTCGATGATGATGAATCCGATGTCAGTTTTTCAAAATTTAAAATTGCGGATCCAATATGGCATACCGTGGAGATCCACTTCACCCATGAACTTGTTGGAAAGGTGAAATGCGTTTGGACATTTCAATGGAATTTCAATTTTTGCACTTTCTTTATAGCTGTTCTATGAAACCGGCAATTATAAAATTTGTTCTGCTTTTATGATAAAAACAAAATTTAAAAAAAGAATGTCCGCCATATTTCAGGTAATTTTGATTAATTTTTAAAAAGCCGTCCGCCATATTGGATCCGCCATTTTGAATTTTGAAATACCGACATCAGATTCGTAATCAGCGACCCCGAATACCCCTGTGTAACAAGTTTCAGACAAATTGGACGATTTTTTATTTTTGGCATTCTGGGCACATTTAGTGTTTTCCAGCCGGCAGTTAAGGGGTTAATCACAGTACAAATGCAGGACGCTCACGGTTTTTCCCGGTGAGATTCTTGCAACGAGCTTAGGCCAATAAGGGCTAAGGCGTGGCCTAACCGTTAAACGCAAGAAATTCATCGCGAAATCCGGTGAAACTACTATCTAAAAATGGCATGAATTGAAGTCACGGAAAAAAGCCTTGTTTTTTCTCTTCGTGTACGAATCTATCCTTAAACCGCACACTGAGTGTGCGACACCTGGAAACTTTACTGTGTGTTCTCCAAGCTAAAATAGGATATTATCTTTTATAAAAATTATTTATTGTAGCTCAGTACATCTATTTTGAAGAAAAATAGGTTCCATAATAATTTATTTAATCTTCATACCTACAAAAAAAATTTCTTAAACTACTGAAATTTCCTTTAACCGATAACTGGGCGTCAGCCACATAAAAATTTTTCGCCGTCAACTTCATAAAGTTGTCAAATACACAAAGACACTTGGGAGAATAATGTCACTCACGGAACATAAAGTTATGTACAAAATGTACCGTCCAATAGCGATCCATTTTCAATTTTTATTACAATTTAATTTTTTTACAAAACTGTTAACCGCCATTTTGAATATTTCAAAACGGACATCATATTCGTAATCAGCGACCCCAAGAACCCCCGAGTAGAGAGTTTCGGGTGAATCCAATTAATTCTTACATAACTCGTCCTCCATATTAGATCCACCATTTTGAATTTTTAAAAACTGGCATCATATTCGTAATCAGCGACCCCAAGATCCGCCGAGTAACGAGTTTCAGGCGATTTCAGTGACTTGAAAAAATTTGAGCACTATGTTTCATATGTGAGCCATTTTTTTAGTTTTAGCCGCCATATTAGCGTCCGCCATTTTGAAAAAAAGAATTGATCGCTTTAGGGTTTTGTGTATTTAAGTCTGAAAATATTGAGTTTAGAAAAAACTTGTCAAAGAATAAAAGTTTTAGTTGTGTTTTGACTTTTAAGAAATGTAAAAAAAAAATTTTTTTTCAATTTTTTATTTAAAAAAATTTTTTTTTATAAACAAATTAATTTTTTTAACTTTGGAAAAAGTTTGGAAAAACTTTCCTAAAAACTTTGGAAAAACTTTCCTAAAAGTTTTGGAGTGGACCGACGCGTTTAATGAGTTATACAAAATTTTTAAAAATCACGTGCAAAATGGGATTTTTTTACAATTTACTTCTCAAAAATGTCTACAGACTACAATTTTTTATCGATTTAAGTGTTTTTTGTTTTAAATAAAAGGAGAATAACTTCTCAAAATATCCCTCCAAGCAAACCTGAGAATATTCAATTGTTCATAATTTTTTTTAAACAAAAAGTTAACTAATTAATTGTGTACTTTCCTTTAAAAATGAAAGATTATTTTCTTATTTTGTTACTACATATGTTCTAGATCAGTTTCAATTAATATAATAATAATATTATTATTATTATTATTATTATTATTATTATTATTATTATTATTATTATTATTATTATTATTATTATTATTATTATTATTATTATTAATATAATATATGACCTCCAGATAAATAGTAAATCATAAAATAATTTATCTAAACTGTTATAAACAATATTAGTTAACAAATAGTTAACTTTGGTTCCTCTCCATCAAAAAACTTTGATCTTTCATATTTATTTCGTAGGTACAGTAGTGTTCAATGAAGCCTTACTCGGATGAACGTGTTGCACTCATATATTTCCCATGAGTGCAACACGTTCGTCCGAGTAAGGCTTCATTGAACACTACTGTACTTTAGGTTCATTTAATGAATATATCTCCCTTTTTTAAATTTTTTTTTTAATTTTTATAAACAATAATAGCTAACAAATAATGAACTTTGGTTCCTCTGCACCAAAAAGAATTTTTTTCATAGTTTTCATTGAAGTTTATTGCAAAGAATATTTATGTAAAAATAAAACAATAAACATTTTAATGTAAATATATATTAATTGTATTTAGTTTATTTTAATTAATTTTTTCATTTTAATTTTCAAAAACACAAGGAAAGATAATAAAAAAAAAACATTTTAACCGTAGCGTACAAATACATGGCAAAGATAAATCTGTTTTTATTCAACTATCAATTTCGTTGGATCCCTTTTTAGCTATGTTTTCGCCCCATATAAAACAGAATCATTCATGGTTAGCACAATCATAAATTGTGAAATTGTGTATCGAAAACTTGCGTTTATAATAAATTGCACATTGATCACAGATGTCTTTTAAATTAATTTTATATAAAATTAAGTATAGCGAAATTTCATACAACTTAAATTTCTAAATCATTTGACATTAATAATTAAATTATGCAAAAAATGCAGTTAAACCTTTTCTTATCGGGATCAAATAGTTAGATCATTGTGAACTTACATCTGAAAAATGTAAAATACCAAAAACTGTTGTCCAAGGTCTAAATATTACGTTCCATACATTTACCTGACTCAATTTTCAAAAAAGCTCCACTCTGGCACTGCACTGTTAATTCACATATATCCAATAACACTTTTTAGTTTTTTTCACTACTTTTTTATTCAAAATCACTTAGAATACAAAGCACACGTCCGCTCATTAATACTACTGCATATAAAATGTCTGCACGATAAAAGACATCGACCACAGTAATAAGGAGTTTCAAATATGACGTTACATACTAAATTTGACAAGTCCGCCACCATACCTTACACGCCACGAAACCTTATATTCCCCTAATATTTTCAAAATTTAATATGGTTTTTGTCATTGTAACAAATTACAAATAAAGTGAATTAAAACATCAATTGTAATGTTAAAGTTTTATTTTCATCACACCAAAATCGACATGATTATTTATTCTGGTACTTGTAGCCGATTGGTCAATTTTTTACAAACCAGTGAAATTCTCAACATTTTTACATATTCATTACAAACTAGCATATAATTCAAGTGATAATATTACGTAGAATTACAAATTCTTGGTTAATAATTTTATTTTTCATATACAATATTCAAATTTACGAATTTTTTACATTATTAATATTCTTATTAATATAATTTGAGGTTGAGTCCACAATAGACAGCGTTAAGGAGATTGAGCTACTTAACACCATTGATATCAATGGTCTTAAGTAGATTATCGATGGTCTTAAGTAGCTCAATCTCCTTAACGCTGTCTATTGTGGACTCAACCTTACATACAAAGTTAGTTAGGTACATAATAATATTTTATGCATTTCTTATATAATATAGATTTGATTTTGTTCGATTTTGTTGCCCTAAACGTAGAGCAAATTTTCGAAATAATATGTTTCAAAGTTAAATTTTGAACCCATACTGATAGACGACCATCAAAAAATTTATTGTACATTCAATTATAAATCATTGAGCCTAATAAATTTCTAATGAAATTGTAATAATGCGCTAATAATCTTGTTTTATATTTTTCTAGAGAAAAAAACAATACCATCTTATATTTCATTTATCTTAAATTAAATTTGGCCCGTGTCTACTGTATGCTCAAAGTATATTAAAAATTACATTAAAAATGAATTAATAAGATCAAGTAACATAAATTAAAGAGAACTATAGATTCAACAATTTCATAACAACGAATTCAGTCGCATGTATCTCATTTCAGAAAAGTATAAATTCAAAAATATAAATTCTGCTTCGTTACAATGATTTTTAATATCCATAATATATCTGTACATGTGTTGTTAACAATACAATCGAAACAATCATTCGTTAATTGTTTTAATTATTTACTTATTTTAAAGTTAATATTTGTTTATTAATAAACGATAATAATGAATATTCAGTCTTCACGATTCACTGAGAGGTAACAAGAAGATTGAATATAGGATTAAAATTAAAAATAAAGTGCATTAAACATTACATGTAATACAATAGTATTACTAATTTTAAAAAATGCACGTTAAAAATGCTAACAAATTTGAGTATTTTTTGAAAAAAGTAATTACGCATTACGTTTGAATTTTAATAAAATTCGGGATTGATGGTTTTTGGGGTCGCTGATTACGAATCTTAAAAAATTTTTAGAGAGCTTCAAATTGCATTAAAAAAAGAAATCACGCTCTCCTTGACATTTTAAAACATGCATTGTTCAAAAAAATGTAACTTGTTAAATTTTAATCGTACGAAGAACAGTAAAAATGTTTTTATCCGTGTAATTAATTGTTAATTGATTTATGCAACCAAAATTAAACAAGCAAAATTTTAATTACCACGTCAGAAAAAAGGGTTTTTGTTAAATTTACCTAAATCTGCTTTGAAATACTTTTATCGACTTAGTGAGTACTACATCTTCGGTCAGTAAACCTCTCAAAGACTGTACACGTATAAGCGTATACTTACATCACAATAAAAGGTAAATCTAAGGTGCTTTTTCAATGTTTGTATTATCGCAACAGACAAGAAGTACGTCACTTACATTAACAAGTTTAATGTATTCTCAAAATGCTGCACCTCAGAGAAATTACCTTAATATCAATTAATTAATACAATTATTAGTAGCTATGGTACTTGATACTGTTTATCTTTGAAATTAAGAATTTTGAAATTGAGTGACAAGAAGTTTAGTAGCTTTGGCAATATCATAAGCACATGAACGAACTTGTTGTAAACAACGATCCATGTGATCGGGATCGCTCGTACATCGTTGAAGACCAGCGCATTCGGCTTGTAGGCGACCTGTATTGCCGCTTAACTGTCGTAAAGCAGCTCGTACATTTTCCTCAACTGGATTCTGAAATTAAGTAATTTTAAAAATTAAGGGATAAAACAATAGTTTTCTCAAATTCATTCATTCATGAATGAATTGTCAGAGGACCGGGGTTAATTTTATTAAAGAGAGAGTCCAGTGTTGTCTCTAGGATTCAGCATTATTATGTTTATCTGTTACTCAATTAGGGTTGCCACAAAAAATTAATTTTCTTTTTCCCTGACCCTGAAGAATATTCTGATTCACTCTAAAAATTATTAGATAATCAAAAAAATGTTCTATTACATTCATTTACAAATTTCTGTAATTGTAAAATGATTCGAAAACATCAATAACTTCTTTTTTAAATAAATATTTAATCATTATTATTTTTCCAACAGAATTAAAATTTGTAAAATGTTCAAATTAAAACTTTTATAAAACATGACCGAATCAATATTTTATATTATAAGAACATTATCACTATAACTATTTCAAAATTATTTTCATCATTTCAATTCAATTATTATCTTCTAGAATTTTTATCTAAAATTCTTCTTTAAATAAATTATTTTTAATATTTAAAAAAGTTCTTTGAAAATTTTCAAATCCATTTGCTTACGATTCAATTTTACGAAATTTCGATTACTAGGAAATTCTTCAAATAAATAGGTATATATTGAAAAATAAAAAATTCAACTAATTTCAACAGAATTGAAATTAAAGTTTTTTAAAAAAGCCGTTCTATAAAATTAATAATTAAAATTATGAAACCTTTTCAAAACTCAATTATTTCTAAACACTCACGCAATGAGGCTTTTAATATTCAAATATTATCTAAAATTTTAACTGAAATTCATTTTTTAATCAATTTCTATTCCAAAATTCTTCGAAAATTCAATTATTTAAATACGAAAATAAATGATTTCTTGAATGTTTCTTAAAATTTAATTTTAATAAAGAATTTTTAAAAAATGTTTAAATATCGAATTTTTTGACGAATTTTAATAAAATTTTTAAGAATAATTTCACTTTTCTAGAAATTCGATTAAAATTGTATTAAAAATAATTACCTAAATCCTGTAAAAAATTTGATTTTTTTAAACAATTGAATTATTGTGAAGAAATTTATAAAAAATTTGTAAAGAATTGAATTATGTGAAATTTTTATTATTTATGATAGTTTATGAAAATAATTAAATGTTTGCGTAGAATTTTATTACTTTTGAAAATAATTGAATTTCTGCAATAATTTGAAACTTCTCCAAAATTCAATTTTTGTTAGTATTTTTAACTAAAATTCTTCTATAAATCCATTATTTTTAATAACTAGTTAAATATATATTAAAAAATTTAAATAATTTCAACTGAATTGAAATTAAATTTGTTTAAAAAAAATTAGTTCTATAAAATTAACAATTAAAATTATAAAAAATTCAAATTTTTAAAGATTTTAATTTAAAACCTTTTCAAAATTCTATTATTTCTAAAAAAATTCACGCTATAATGCTTTCAATATTCAGTTACAATCTAAAATTTTAACTGAAATTTATTTGTAAATTAATTTTTATTAGAAGATTATACGAGAATTCAATTATTTAAATCCTACAAAAATAAATAATTTATTGAATAATTGAATGTTTCTCAAAATTGAATTCTAATAAAGAATTTTATCAAATAAATTTTTAAATAATTGAATTCTTTGACGAATTTTATTTCCTGTTTATAATTAAAAATAAATAAATTTTAATAAAATTTTTAAGTATAATTACATTTTTCGACGAATTCGATTAAAATTATATTAAAAATAATTGGATCCCTGAAAAAAATTTAATTATTTACGGAACTAATTTAATTATTGCGAAGAAATGTATAAAAATTTTGTAAATTATTGAATTCACTGTGAAATTTTTATTATTTATAAAAATAATTAAACGTTTGGGTAAAATTTTATTAAATTTTTTTAAAATAATTAAATTCTTTTGTAAAAGGGACGCATGATTATTCCCCAAATGTCATTTTACCGAACTGCACTTTTGCGAATAGTCATTTTTGCGAAAAGCCATTTTTGTGAAATGCCATTTTTACGAATAGTCATTTTTGCGAAAAGCCATTTTTACGAATTGTCACTTTTGCGAATCGACATTTTTACGAAATATCATTTTTGCGAATAGCCATTTTTGCGAAAAGTAATTTTTACGAATTGTCGTTTTTGTGAATTGTCATTTTTGCGAAAAGCTATTTTTGCGAATTGTCATTTTTGCGAAATTCCATTTTTGAGAAATGTCATTTATGCGAATTTTCACTTTTGCGAATCGACATTTTTACGAATTGTCACTTTTCCGAAAAGTCATTTTTGCGAAAAATATTATACAATAGTGAATCTATATATACCTACAAGTTTACTATTGTATTTTTCGCAAAAATGACAATTCGCAAAAATGACTTTTCGGAAAAGTGACAATTCATAAAAATGGCGATTCGCAAAAGTGACAAATCGCAAAAATGACAATTCGCAAAAATAGCTTTTCGCAAAAATGACTTTTTGCAAAAATGGCTATTCGCAAAAATGACAATTCGTAAAAATGTCGATTCGCAAAAGTGACAATTCGTAAAAATGGCGATTCGTAAAAATGTCGATTCGCAAAAAAGACAATTCGTAAAAATTTCGATTCGCAAAAATGACAATTCGCAAAAATGAAAATTCGTAAAAATGACTTTTCGCAAAAATTACTATTCGTAAAAATGGCTTTTCGCAAAAATGACTTTTCGTAAAAATGACATTTCGCAAAAATGGATTTTCGCAAAAATGACTATTCGCAAAAGTGCAGTTCGGTAAAATGACATTTGGGGAATAATCATGCGTCCCAAAATTTTTTAAAATATGTAATTGATTTTTGGAGAAGAATTTTATCATTTATAAAGATAAAATAATTTTTGAAAATAGTTAAATTTCTGCAATAATTTGCAACTTCTCCAAAATTAAATTTTTTTTTAGTATTTTCAACTAAAATTCTTCTATTCTATAAATCTATTATTTTTAATAACTAATGAAATATATATATTAAAAAATGTAACTAATTTTAGAAGTATTTGAATTATTAACATTTTTTAAAAATTCATTTCTTTAAAATTACAAATAAAATTAATTGAAAATTGAAATTTTTATTTTCAAAAATTTTAAATTAAAACTTTTAAAATCGAATTAATTTTTAAATATTTAAGTAGAATTATTAATTGAATTTTATAATGGTTCTTCATGAATTGAATTTTTTAAAAAGAAATTATTGTCAGAAATAGAAAAATTTGAATGTTTTGTATTAGAATTCCTGGTAATGTCATAGTTTATGCGGCAAATAAAAAAGACACAAAAATTCAGAATTTTTTTATGAATTCTAGAAATTAAATATTTCTCCAGTACAATAAATACAATAACTTTAGAAAACAACAATTTTCCAGGATTCCGATAAAAATTCCCTGCCTTTTCCAGGTCTTTTCAAGATTTATGAAATTCCCTGACATTTCTAAGTTTTCCAGGTTGCGTGGAAACTCTGGAATGCCTCGTATAAAAAACCATAAACTAATCTAATTCTAACATTTTATAAACACCTACTTGAGGGAATATTGCTGTAAGCTCAGCAACAGCAACTCGGATTCTTTCTGCACAAGGTACAAAAGTTTCTCTGCGATTGGGATCTTGCATAGCCATCCACAATTCTTGAATTCGTTTAGTTACTTGGCCTGTTCGCCTGGTAACTTCTTCTCGAGGAGGTCTACTTGTTCCACTGTAATCCCAGAAACTCGGAGTTGTACATGGTCGTGCAATTGAATCTATTTCTCCCTTCGTCTATAAAATAATAAACAATAAACTAAAGTTTAAAAAAATTAAAATCTTAATGTATACTTAATTTTTTTTACATATTACTGAAAGTTATAGTATAAACGTTTATTTTGAATACTTTAGGAGGTAAAAAGAAACTTCTGTAAAATTTGTCTATCTTACTCCGATTTAATTTTAATGCTTAGATAAACTTATAATGTAATGTTTGTTAAAAATAGCTAAAATTTTGTATATTGAAAATGTACTGTACACTTCTTTTTGTCTTCTTACAACGATTTTTCAGAAATAGCATTTTTTTTAACTCAATTGCTGTGGGCATTTTCATAAAACAATGATACCTAAAAGAAGCAGAATATTATAAATTTTGTTCATACCTGACTCATGTTTGTACTCCATGCTGATGGCATACGCAACCCTTCTCTAGTTTCATACATTGAAAAAGGTCGTTGATTTGCGCGAACTCCGGCAGTTTTAATATCAAGCGAAGGCACTAATTCTGATATTTCTTCACTTTCTGTGTGTCCATTTATGACTACGTCAGAAGGTTTAGGCTGCAATTTGAATTATTACATATCAATAAAAATCAATTTCATTGGAATACAACATTATAGATAAAAAATAATTTACATGCAGCCTGTTTTTCAAATATTTTTCAATTTTTTTGAATATGTATGTAGATCTTTCTAATAAAGTTTCAAAATAATTATTTTGTTGATATTTAAAAACTAAATTAATTAGTTAATCTTTAACGTCCGAGATTTTTTTTATAAAACAAGGTGAATAAAACGAAAACATTCAGACAATGAAATAGTACAGTATGCAACAAAGGCTTATTATGGTCCCTCTATGCTACCTGTGCCGGTGCATGCTAAGTTTCCCCATATAAGCCAGCTGGTCAATAAAGTGTCCATTATTGCCCCAGGGTAATAATGGGTACTTTATTGCCCTAGGGCAATAATGGGCACTTAATTGACCGCTGGGTTATAAGGGGGAACTAAGTATGCGCCTGTACAGGTAGATAAAGTGACTTTAATACGCCGGAGTTGCGTATAAATAGGAATAGTTGGATAGTTGCGTTTTTTAAAATAAATTATTAGTGTATATAAATTACCTGCATCATAGTTTTCAATTCTCGATTTTCTACAGAAATGCGCTCAACAGTATTTTGCAATGAACGCACTTCTTCTCGTAGATCTTTTATTGTTGCTTCAGAAAGTGTCAACTGCTTTCTAAGAACTTCCACTGCTGAAGGCAAACCTTTAGCTATTGGAGTCATAGATTTCTGAAAAGAATGTAATTAATCTTACTAAAAGAAATAAATAAAATACATAAAGATGTCAAAACCCATACAACTTAATTTAGTTCTTTGGACAAGTTACAACTTTCGTCAATATTGGTGTATACTTAATAATAAAATTAATAAAAAACCGCTGCCAAGTTGTATATTTTTTTTATAATTTTGGTGCTCATTTCATGAACACTTTACTTCCTCATGAAGATAAAAATAATAATTTTGAGTCAACCAATGTATTTTTAAATACCCTACAAGATAGTTACAATAATTTAATAGTTAAATAAAAATTTTCAAACAAAAAAGTTGAGAAAATGTCATTTTTCACAATTTTTGGTTTTTAAAATACCAATAAACCATAAATATATAATAAAATAAATAAAATAAAATAAATACCATAAAATTTTCAGTTATGTACCATTAATCGTAGAATTTAATAATCTTTCGAATGGTATATTTGTTAATTTTCTGACATTTGTATTTACAAAAAAATCGTGATTTAAACATTGGTATGTTTTTGGCCGTGCGTGTGCAGCCGTACCGATAATTCCCGACGGTAGTGTACTTCTCCGTTTTTTAACAAAATTTTCAAAAAAGTCTTATTTTCCAAAATTTTTGATTTTTAAAAGTTTAATAACTCCGGTTAATATGGACAAAAAATGTTCAATTAGGGCTCAAAAGATGCGTCTAAAAAAACTCTACAAAATTATGGAAAACCATTTATAGGTGTCCTAACATTTTTTTAAAGTTATGGGCAAAAAACGTTTTTTTGCAAAATTAAAAATAAAAAAAAATTTAGTTAAACTTTATCAATATATCAGAAAGTACTCTCACTTTATGTCCGCAGGTGTGATCTACAATTTAAAAAAAAATTCAACCCAAAAGCTCTTCATGATTTCGAGATATTTATGAAAATGTGATGTTTACACACACACACACACACACACACACACACACACACACACACACACACATACGGAATGACATTTTTTAAAAATGTCTTTTTTGAACTCCTGAGGTCAAATAACATAAAGATATGTCAAAAAATCGAACTCGAGAAATTTTGGTATTACAATACTTCCTCTATGAGGAAGTAATAATAGTAAAATAAGCTCATTTTAAACTCTCTTTAGGCCCTACAAGTTAGAAATTAAAATATTTGTCATTTATACGACTTAACAAGGACTGAAATTCTATTAGTAGTAAGCCCTCTACAAAACCCCAATACTGTTGAATTTGATTTGAGATATCATATCGATTTCAATTCAAATAGTTTATGCTGCAATTAATTGAAAATAAATGAAGTACCTTGTTATCTAAAAAAGGTGCACTAGATAGTCGTGTCATGTTATCAGAAGAGAAAATCGTATAGTCATCGTCAGATGCGACACTGTCGTATAGAGGCTCATCATCTGACGCTTGAGAACCAAATTTTCCGGATTGCTCTCTGCGAAGGGCTGATACCATAGGATCTGAAGGCAAAAACGATTTACGAAAAATAAAAATATTATAATTAATACAATCATATATATATAATAATACACAATATTACGAATAACATATTTTCATATGAACCATATTGGAAAATAAGAACCCATATTAAATTCTCTCAGATTAATTTATTTTAATAGTCCTTAGGGTTTCAGAAACCGACTTTAAAAAATTTCTTTTATCATTAAATAATAAGTAATTTTATATTGCTGAATTTTTAAATAAAAATTACTATTTCTATTATTATTATTAATTTATTTAACCATTGCACAGTGACCAATTTTCCGAAAAACCTGTCAAAAATTTAAAAAATGTGGTAAATTCATACTTTTTACCCTCCAATATTATAAAGTCCTCTTGAAAATAAATTGTTCTTTAAACAAATAGGGTTTGTTCATTAATAATTGAAAGAAACAACTATTTCGCCATAAACTTGAAAGAATACAATTTATTCTTTTGCTTAAAACTGCAATTAAAGAATTGTGAAAACTGATCAACTTTTGCTATTTTAACCCATTAACGCCCAAAAATGTACAAAATTTTGTCCTGAAGTTTGATACTATATTTTAACATAAAAACTATAAGAAAAATTCTGCAATAGTATTTTCTTATTAGCCGAAAGCCGCTCTTTCTAGTGGAGCACTAAAAAACTTTGTAAATTTGGAAATAAACAAATTACACATTTTTTTAAAACACGAAATTTTTAGGTTTTTTCTAATTTTTCAAATTTTAGTACGTGTATTCGTACTGAAACACATCTAAATTTTCAAAATGGCGGAAACAAAATGGCGCCAAAATTTAATTTTTATTAACAAAACCATAGCCATGTGAAAAAAATCGCAAAACTTAATAAATTTTTACAAAACTGAACGAAGTGTTTTTGAGGACGCTGAATACGAATACGAAAGTAGATTCGCTTAAAATTTGTTACTCGGGGGTTTCTGAGGAGGCTGAATATAAATCAAAAGTTAGATTTCAAAAATTCAAAATGTCGAATCCAATATGGTGGAAGATAATTTCGAAAATAATGAGATTCGCATGAAATTTGTTATGCGGGGCTTTGTTGGTATTACGGTCCTTACCCCGCCGAAAATCCCCGAGTAATGAGTTTCAAAAAAATTTAATTAGTTTTTAAAAATTCTATTTACCATATTAAACTTTGTTCGTCGTATTGTATCAGATATTAAAAATTTTTAAAACCTACTTTGGCTTCGTATTCAGCGACCTCAGAAACCCTTGAGTAACAACTTTCAAGTAAATCCAATTAGTTTTTTATAATTTTATTTATCATAATGAATTTTGTCTGCCATATTGGATCAGCCATTTCGAATTTTTAAAATCTAACTTTTGATTCGTAATTAGCGACCCCATAAAACAACGAGAAACCAATTTTAAGCGAATTCAATGATTTTCGAATATTTCGTCCTCCATATTGAATCCGACATTTTGAACTTTTGAAGTCTGATTCTGTATCCGTATTCAGCGACCTCAAAACTATGGTTGTAATCATTTCATTTCTCGAATTTTGTCTTTTAACGTCTTTTAAAGTTTTTAAACAAAGGACGGCCATTTTGAGTCCGCCATATTGAATTTTCAAAAAAATAATCTAAAATTTAAAATCAGCATCCCACAAAGTTTGGTTGTAATTCTTTCATTTTTCGAATTTTGCCCAAATTTTTCGAGAAATTGGCCACAGTGCACTGTCAAAATTTTATTCGACATTTCAAATACTTCGTCAAAAGTTTATAAAATTATTGTATGAAAAGTATATATACAAACCTTGAAGTGGAGTTTGGCAAGCTAATTTATGTCGATGGCCAGCTTCGATGAGTAAATCATATATAAGTGTGGCAAATTCTTTTGGTGTAAAACGTGCCAATTTTTGTCTTCCTTGATTTCTAGTTGAAGAAAGGCGTGGATTCACAGGTAAGAATGGAACTGCACATCTGTCCGGAAGGGAGGCGACTGATAGCCAAACTGTACGTTAAACATAAATAAAGTGAAATCATAAAACTACGTCTACTTAAGCAATAGAACGCGCTTAATTATAAAATTTTGAGAAACTTCATATTTTTTGTCCCGATATTAATTAGCTATTCATACATTATTATAACACGGCTTAATTATCGTCTTATACAAGTAAATAAAATAAAGAAATTTTAAGTTGAATTTAATTTTCTTTTTCGTTGTAATATGGTTACTTTAATAGTATTTTATATCAGAAATCATAATATCAAAGGATTTTGAAATTTTTTTTTTGTTAATATTACAGGGTTGCCACAAAAATTTAATTTTGTTTTTCCCTGACTTTTCCCTAATTTCCAGACAAAATTTTGACTTTTTTCCTGACCCACAACAATATTCTGATCCACTCTAAAAATTATTAGATACTCAAAAAAAAATCTATTACATTTATTTGCGAATTTATTTAATTGTAAAATTATCCGAAAACATCAATAACTTCTTCTTGAAATAAATATTAATTCATTATTATTTTTCTATAGGAATTAAGATTTTCAAATTCAAACCTTCTAAAATTCAATAACTTATGAGAATATTAATATAAAACATGAAGAAATCGAAAAATTATGAAGAAATTTAAGATGACAGAGCGATACAAACATTATTTTCTATTATAAGAATATTGTAACTATAAATTCAAATTTTCAAAGATTTTAATTTGAACCAATTTCAAAATTCAATTATTTCTAAAAATTCACACAATAATGTTTTTAATATTCAATTATAATTAAAAATTTTAAGTGAAATTCAGTGTTTAATCAATTTTTATAAGAAAGTTTTTCGAGAATTCAATTATTTAAATACAAAAATAAATAATTAAATATTTCTTAAAATTGAATTTTTATGAAGAATTTTATAAAAATTTTTTAAATAATTGAATTCTTTCGGCGAATTTAAAAAAAAATTATTAAAATAATTGAATTCTTGCAACAAATTTTATTAAAAATTGAATTCTTGTGAAGAATTTTATTTGTAAAAATAATTTAATTCCGGAGAAAAATATTATTTATAAAAATAATTCATTTCTTGTAAAGAATTTTATTCAAATTTTTTTAAATAATTGAATTTCTCAGAATTTTTTAAAACTTATTAAAACAAAATTAAATTCGAGAGATTTAATTAAAAAATTGAAAATAATTGAAATCTGACAAAGAATTTTATTAAATTTTTTTTAAATAATTGAATTCCTGTGAAAATGTTTATTTTTGAAAAGAATTGAATTCTTGGGAAGTATTTTATAAAAATTTCTTAAATAGTTGAATTGCTTCGAAGAATTTTATTTTTTACGAAAATATTTGAATTTTTACAAACATTTTTGACAATAATTGAGGCCTTGGATCCAATAACTCGCCCGACGCTCGAAGGCACGCGCTAATACCAATCGGGTAGCAGTGAGTGGCCCAGAGGCGCTCACTGCTCACTGACTGGCAGTTGCGCGTTCCTCCGAGCGTCGGCCGAGTTATTGGATCCAAGGCCTCAATTGTACTTCTAGGAAGAATGTTATATTTTACGAAAATAATTGTATTCTATGATTATATTTTATTATAATTTTTCAAATTTATAAATCATTTTATCAAAATTTTTAAAAATAATTGAATTCTCGAGAAAAATTTTATTATTTATGAAAATAATTGATTTCTTGTAAAGAATTTTATTCAAATTTTTTTAAATAATTGAATTCCAATAAAAAAAGGTATTATTTGTAAAAATAATTCAATTTTTAAGAAGAATTCTATTGAAAATAATAATTGAATTGTATAGGAAAATTTTATTAAAATTGCAATTTTATTAACTAAATCTTGTAAAGAATTATCCGAATTTTGTCAAAATTTTTTTAAATAATAGAATTTTTAAAAGAATTTTATTTAAATTTTTCGAAATAACAGGCATCACAGTACCTTTTTTGTTCAAAACAGGTGAATAGGTGATTTTTTTTCTGAAATAGGTGACAAATAGGTGACAAAAAAAATGACAAATATAACACAATGAAATGTATTTAAACTTGTATTAACAATGTGTTTAAGCTCCAATTTCTTACTTTTTTAATCTTTGGCAGAAAGTAGATTAATTTTAATACAATTTATGAAGTTATGTTATCTACATTACATAGGCATAGTACAATTACATAGTACAATTATGCGGAATTATGCGACTAAAAAGATGAATTCTGCGTTAATCGCTAAAAAAAGCAGGATTATGCAAAATTATGCAATTGAAAAGAATTCTGCTTCAATTATACGCTAAAAAATGTTCATTTTACAAAATTATGTTGCGTTTAAAAAAAAATTTGATTTTAAACGGTTACTTGTTATTTTTTGAAACCAATTTCCCGAAAGGCCCTAAATTTTTTTGTTTTTTTTATTAAAAAATGGATATATGTGGGACTCCAAGTGGGAATTTAGTTTTTTCGGAGTAAGTAAACCAATTGCAATAAAATTCATGAATTTTAATCTACACATAAAAAGAAATGTTTCCACCACACTTAATTCAGCGAAAAAAAAAATTGTTGATATTATGTTTATACAAATTTTTATAAACAAAACAGGTATTAAATAATAATAATTGAATAACTTTTGAACGACCAAACGAAATTGAATGAGGCAAACACTAAACAAATATTTGCTGTGGTTTCTTTAAGATTCCGAAAACAATTTTAACAACGGAAACATCTTTATACAAAATTTTGTGTAAAAGTATTCGGGATTTTAGACATTCGGGAAAGGAGCCTTTCGGGAAAATGACCGGAAACGATGTTTTTCATCATATATAGCAGTTTCTGCTTTTTAAAATTTAAGATTTATTTAATTTTTTAATAACATTTAATAAGTTAATTAACAGTTTAAAAACTTATTTATTATTTAATTTAAAAAAATATTTTAAAAATAAAGAAACTGAAAAAGTTTCCATGGTTTTTAGTTAAAGAAAAGCACTGTTTTGAAAATTTTGAAATCACAAATAAAACACGCTGTATTCAAATATTAAATTTGAATTTTATGAACAGATTTCAAAATATTTAGAAGAAAATTTTGTATCTTTGAGCATAAAAAGGTGACAAAGCATCAAAATAGGTGAAATAGGTGACAAATTTGAAAAAAGGTGAAAAAGGTGAATAGGTGACAACCTGTGATGCCTGAAATAATTGAATTTCTCAGAACAATTTTTTTTTCAATTCTCTGAATATATTTGAATGTTTTTGAGAAATTCCATTATAAAATTAAAAATAATTGAATTGGTTCAAAGAAATTTTAAAAAAATTGGTAAGTAGGGTCAATTGAGGTACATGTAAACGGAATATCTATTTTTCACTAAAAACATTAGTTTTTTTTTGTTAAAAGGTAAAACGGACGGATTTTTTTTGCATGAACTTGTTACTAGAGTTCCCTAGAAAAATTTTATGAGGTTCAAAAAAATTTTGATGCACCTGAATCGCCTAAAACTGACTGTTTACATTTACCCCGAGATTTTGAAATTTTCCTAAAATTCGGGGTAAATGTAAACACCACTGTAGTTAAGCGAGGTTTAAGAAACAAGTTATTTCAAGTATACTTCTGTTTTAAGGGATGGAAAAACTGATAAAAATTTTTCGTAGATGTATAGTAAATCAACCAGTTGACTGATAATGTATCATATAAAATAAACAATTAACCATTACAAAACTAGTAATGTAAAAACTTGAATAACTTGAACAAATTTTAATAGATTTTCATTCAACTTGGTAAAAAGAAGTTTTTAAGGTTGCTGAATAAGAATCTAAAATCGAATTTTTAAATTTCAAAATGGTGGATCCAATATGGCGGATGAACCTAAAAATAATATTTTTAAAAATTGATCAAATTTGCTTGAATCTGGCTACTAGGGGGTTTTTGAGGTCGCTGAATACGAATTTGAAGTCAAATTTTAAATTTTTAAAATGGCGGATGAACCTAAAAATATTTTTAAAAATTGATAAAAAAAAAAAATTTTTTTTTATCAAATTTTTTTTTAAAAGAGGACCTAATTTCCTTTTTTATGTAATTTTACATTGCCAAATTAATGAAATTGTGAAATAGAAGCAAATTTATTCAATTATTTTCTTTTAAAATGTAGTTCAAGTTCTGTTTACATTTACCCCGAGTTTTCGAATTCTCGGGGTAAATGTAAACACTTAATTATTTATTAACTAAATTGACGAAAATCAAAAATCAAAGTCAATTTTTGTTAGGGCATTAATAAGGAAGAATTACATATTTTTGTTTGATTTTTTAATTTATTTTTATGCAAATGCGAGACAAAATACTGAAACAGTAAAATTTTGATTTTCAATCTTTTTTGCATTAAAAAATAACTTACACTATGGCATTGCCAATTGTCAAAATAAAATATTGGCAATACTCAGAACATCTTGTAGGTGAGCTGAGGTAAAAATATTGACGTCGTACTTATTTTTTAATTTGTAAATTTAGCTGAAACATGTACTGTTTACATTTACCCCTTGTTTACATTTACCCCAAATGACCCTAATTGAACTCCTATGAAATTTATATTAAAATTTTGTTTAAATAATATTGAATTCTTATGGAAAATGTTATTAAAATAGTAGGTACAGGCAAACCTCGCTACGGCGGAAAGCAATTAGACGATTCCGCCGTAGAGAGGTTCATTAAAATGAAGTGAGTGAACGTTCAGGGATGTATCAACCATTTTAAATCATATGGTCTTTAAATATGAAATAGAAGTTATGATAATTTATTAATAACCTTATTTAAAAATATGTATTAAAAATCATTGAATTCTTGCAAAGAATTTTAGAATAATTGAATTCCTTCGCAGAATTTTATTATTTATGAAAATAATCGAATTCTCGCGAAGAATTTAATTAAAATTTATAAAAATCTTAATTAAATTCTTTTGAAGAATATCTTTAAACTTTTTTAAAATAATGGAGTTCATGTTTATTTTTTATAATATATAAAATATATCACAAAATAAACAAAAATTATAAATCAATTATAATTTAAATAATTTAAATAAAAAAACATCCATATAAAAATTACAATTCGAAACTTTTCGGCCCTGAATTTCATGGCACTCACACAGTCACAACTCTCACTGACATAATCCCTTCTACTTCTACCTGGCGAGTTTCCGCCGTAGCAAGGTTTGCCTGTATTAAAAATAATTGAAATAATTTAATAAGTAATAATTTTATGATAGTTCTTCAAGAATTAAGTTATTTAAAAAGAAATTATTGTCAGAAATAGAAAAATTGAAGCTTTTGTATGAGAATTTTTGACAATTCTTATAATTTCTAAAAATTATATTTTTTCCAGTACTTTTAATAAAAATCCCTGACTTTTCCCTGAATTCCCTGACTTCCCTGACCTGTGGCAACACTGTATTATTAGATATTTAAAATTATGAACGTATTTAATTAAAAAATAATTTCTCAAAAACTTATTAATCAATTTTAATGGTACAAGAGTCATTTTATTTGTCTTGAAATGAGATATAACTGACATTATTTTATTTTTAATGAAAGGTCATTAATAAATCGGTGGCTTTTTACACATTTTCCCTATCATATTTTTACCGCACAAGTGCGACAAAAGAGATTGTATTTATTAAAACACTTACCTCTCCTTTTGTAAAGCACAAGGGAAAAGTCATGCAGATTATTAAGGTGGAATTGGATAATTATTAAAATGTAAGAATTATTACACAATGAATTCTTGATAAAATAGAGAACGAGATAATTTACAATATAGTAGTAAAGTACTATTTACAAAGAAATTTCTATTAGCGATTAGACAAAATGCAGGTAAAAATTTATAATTGAGTTGTTAACTTAAACTTAAATTTTTTTTTAGAAAATAATAAAACTTCTTTTTCTTATTTTACTTTTGCTATTAGGTAATTCTAATTTTCTAAATATATTTTAGAGACATTTTTTGTCTTTGAATTATTTTACGCACTTAAAAAATAACAAAAAAATTTTTATCGAACCAAGTGAGAGATTATCAGTCATGAAGAACTTTTCTTTGCAGAATACAACTTTTTTATTTCATTTTTGTCTTTTTCATGACTCATAATCCTTATTAAGTCCAATAAAATTTTATTTTCTTTCTAAGACACGAAAGTTTTATAATAACAATGCTACTTAAATAATTTACACTATTTTATTAACTTGAATGCATTTATAACCAAACTACACAAATATTTTATACTAAGATAAGAATGTTATAAATTAATATATTTATTAATTAATTATCAACAAAAAGCAAATATATTAATTAATTATTTTAATTTAATATCCTACATTTAACTATATATGTATCAATTACAACAATTACAACTATTTTAAATTTTAGAAATTTAGAAATTATTTTATACAAAATTTTAGAGGTTTTAATGATACATTAAAGAGAAAATAAATTGTTCACGAAAAATGATTTGTAATATGCAATCATTATACTATTAATGCACTGTACACTGCAACTGATTAAAATAAAGAATTTGTTTTTTAAATAAATATTGAGAATTTTAGAATTTTAAGATTACATACAATGTCAACCTTGCAAAAATTTAACTTGAAGAAAAAATAATGTTTACTCACCTGAGTCTGTCTCTCTACGATCAACTTCATCGTAAACGTCCATTACTAACTCCTCTAACAAATGATTAGGCAGCTGAAAGAAATTTAATTGGGATCACTATATTTTTTCTGCGCGCGAAATAGTAATGAATGGAAAATATAATTTAGTTTATAAAAACTAAATTTTTTAAATATTAATTACCATTTGTAGTTTGTTTCGTGCCTCCAAAGAAAATTCACTACGATCTGACTCTCCAGACCATTCTGGAATGATTAAATGTTGTCCTGCCTTATGGTTGGGTTTCTGTCCGCACAAGAAGAAGCTCAGTTTATCGGTCACTTCATACATAGTTTCTACAAGTCTTTCAGATAATTCCAAATGTCCTGCCATTCTGAAAAAGAAGGATTAATTTAAAAAATAAATTTCGTAATAATATAGCAATTATAACGAAGCACGTTTCCATATGACACAATTATTTAGAAACACGATTCAAATAGGCTTTGTTTTTTTTCAAATAACCGACTTCTTGTCAAATTTTTTAACATGAATTAATCGCAAATAAAACAAAATATTATCAATACAATATTTATACTAGATTGCTAAAACACTTCAATAGTTTTAATGCAAAACCCAAATGGCTTTTTTTCACCTCACTCTACTTTATGAAATAAATAAAAAACTTAAAATTTAACTTACTTAGCAATTTCAGCAGAAGTATAGCCATTTGAATCTACTAAACTGGGATTTCCTCCATTAGCTATAAGAAGTTCTAATTGCAAGGATTGTCCTGCGCGAGCTGCTACATGTAATGGTGTGGTTCCTTTTTCCTAGAATTTAAATTTAAATTCATTCCAAATTTTGTATTTAATGTTTCTCGTCGGATTAAAGGCCGATTACTCTCTGCGTTACTTTAAATATAATTTTTTAAATTTAAACTGAGTTTACAATATTATTTTTTTGAATAACCGATTGACAAAACTTTTATTTCTGTGAATAAATGAGTATAATAAGTACATGTACACAGTTTAAAATTTGCAAAATTATAAAAAAGATTACTCTCTTCACATCGCTTATAATGTATATGAATATTTACAAGGCTAAGTCATAAAAATTCGAAAATAAATCAAACCTTATAAAAGTAGTTGGGGTCTGCACCCTGTGCCAGTAAACGTAAAGATGTCTCAAGATTTGTAGTTCGTACGCTACTGTGCAATTGTCTACAGATTTCTTCCTCTGTACAAAATTCTTCTTTACTTGGACGCAAAATAAAGGCCAGTTGTTGATGCTTAGCTCGAATAAAATCTTCTTTAATAGGACTAAAAAACAATGTATTAGTTAATTTTTAAATTAAAAATTTTTTATTAAAAAAAATTTTTTTAATAAATATCTTTATAATACTAACTGCAACAGATCTTTAGATTGTGGTTTTCTTCTACTGGTCTTCGAATTATTGGGATCCAAAAGAGAATGTTCCCAAATGTTATTAGCTCCGCTTTCATGTAATGTCCGTACCATCTATAAAAAAATTGTGGATTTGTATGTTGTAAGAAATTATCAAATAAATAATTTTTAAACAAATAAACCCGAAAAAAGCATGGGAAAAATACACTTAACATTTAGCCCCAGGGTGCGTTTTTGACTTTAACAATAACAAATATACAAAATCTGACTAAAAATATTTAGCAAATATCTTTAGGTACATCTTCAGGAGACCCAAATAGGCTAAAATACTTTTGACGATGAGAATATATAAATATAAAAAATATACTTAAAAGTTGAAACACACTTTATATTATGGACACCACAAAAATGAACAGAATGTCACATAACTTCGGACATTTATTTAGAGTGATAACACCCTTCTATAATCAAAATTGCAATGCTCTAACTATTTCCGTTCGAAAGATAATGAATTTTAACTGTTTTGACAGTTTAACATTTAGCCCCAGTGTCCCCTATACATATTCTTGATTAAATTTCAAATAATTTCCGAATTCTTAGTCCCTTCTGAATAAAAAATTCGCGAAGTTATAGAGATTCAAGGTTAGAAATGCCAAAAATCTAATTTAGAGAAAAATGAGTTTAGAGTTTAAATCTACCATTAGTTTTATAAAAATTGATACCAGTCTATACTGCCTAGCCCTAATACTGATTTTAAAAAATCTAATATTTTGCCAGTTTGGAAGACAAAAGTAGCCATATTTGGTTTTCATATATAAAAGCACTTTTGGAGTACGGAATCATAAAGTACCCCGAAAACATAAAAAAAACTTTAAAATAAAAAAAATCCATATGGAAGTAAATACTCACGCTTAACATAGAAGAATTCCATGGTCCTTTATGAAGAAACTTAATGTGGGAAATATGACGTCCTAAGCTGCGATGAATGCTACAACATTCGTCACACAACAAAATTGCTCTATTTAAAGACACCCAGCTTGGTTCTGAAACGCAAAAAATAGATTTAAAATTACAACATAAATATAAAAAAAAAGTAACACTATAATATATTAAGGAAATTCTAATTCCATGAGCCGATTGATCTGTATTTGTTTGTTACTAAAATTTAAAAGCAATAATTGTCGGTTATATTATAGTTACTATCCTGGGATATAAAAAAAATGTTATGATGCCTGTTAATATTTCTTATCATTAATTGTTTCTATCAATTTATAATAATAAATTAAGTCCTTCTTAATAAATTCTAATAATTTTTTTACATTTTAATAGTAAATTATGTGTTTTCTTTAATATTTTCTAATAGACGAAAAAGTGATAGTTTTTACGACCTCAAATTCAGGCATCGGATATTACGACTTTCTCGACTTTTTCGACTACTTATTTTCAAAAACTGCGACTTTTTTCGACTTATTTTTAAAAATTGAGACTTTTTTTAAAAATATTGCAGCAACATACCACATTTTTAGTAAAAGATGCAACTTATTTCTGTTTTTATAGTGTGAAAAATAACTATAAGACTAAAATCTTTAAATAATTAAGAGAAATAATTTTTGAAAGATATGTATCTCAATTCACGGAGAAAAATGGATAGTTAAAAGTAGATAGTTAGAAAATATATAATCAAATTTATTATCTGTATAGTCAGAAATATTATCTTCCTGAAATATTATATATTCCCGTTTAGTATATCTAGATAATTAAATTTATTATCCTGGATAGTCAACTTGCCGAGCGCTTGCGCAGAAGTTTGATTACCGATCACACGCAAGAAAAACGGCACTGCCTGTTTCAAATGACATAAAATTGGTAAAAATTCATTTTCTAACAAATTTTTCTCTGTTCACAGGCACTTTTTACAGAATCTGACAACGTACATTTGTCACAAATGTTTTTAATTGTCTGAATTCAAAAGATTTTGTTAATCCATGCAGAAACGCGGTTGCAGGATTGGAAATAAAAAAGTAATGTAATGGCAGGCCACAAGACGTATGTTACAGCCATTTTGACAGTAGAGGGCAGAAGCATGCAGGGAGCGTAAAGGCTCAGCTGTCAAAATGATTCGCATTACATTGCTATGGTAATTCCAATACTGCAACCGCGTTTCTACATGGATTGACAAAATCTTTTCAATTCAGACAATTAAAAACATTTGTGACAAATGTAAGTTGTCAGATTTTGTAAAAAGTGCCTGTGAACAGAGGGAAATTTGTTAGAAAATGAATGTTTACCAATTACACGTCATTTAAACCGGTCAGTGCCGTATTTGTTGGGTGATAACTGTTGGTCGCACATTATCGAGAAATTTAAGAGACCATTGAACACCGCTAAGTAGTTTTATATTATCCGAAATTTAAAAGCATTGTCAAGTTTTTTTATACTGAATTTCAGATATAATATTGCTTAAAAAATATTGTTGAAAAATATATAAAACTTACAACTTACACCTTTAAACCTGTCAAAAGAATTTAAACATTTCAAGGGTATCGTTAAATTAATGTATTTTGTTCTTTAAAATTTTCAGATTTTCCATAAAAAATTGTTTATCTAGGAAAAATGTTCACTAATTTCTAAAAAGATTAACTTTTATCATTAAATATTTCTTATTGATCAATTTAGATGTGTAGGTATAAACACAGCAACTTGCGTTTATTATCTAGGATAGTCAAATGTGAATATCTTGGATAATGGCAGTTAGTATGTAAGTTTGATTATCTCAAGATACTAAATTTGAATATCTAGATGGTTGTCCTATAGTTAAGTATCCAAGATCATCACCCAACCATGATTATCTAGATAATAAATTTGACTATCCATTTTTCTCCGTGAATAATTAAAAATTTTTTGAATACAGTAGAGACACCATTATCCGGATTTTCGACTATCCGGACAAATTTTAAATATTATTTTGTTTTTAATTTTAAAGTTTACAATCATTTAATACAATAAATTTTATTAATATATTATAGATATTCTTAATATAATATTTGTTCTTTTTTATATTGTTTCTTTTTCAAATGTCCCCTATACTGTCCCGAAGTACCGTAATCAATCTTCTCTCATTTTTTGTATAAAAACAAAAAAAGTTTGTTGTCCACGCAATAGAATTAATATTTATTTATATAAACGCATCTTAACATTTACACGAAAAAAGTTAATTTATTTAAAAAAATAAAGTTGAACGAAAACCAAACAATAGTGATCATATTCTGCCAAAAAGCTGTCTGCCATTAAAAAAAATATTTACGTCTAATGTTATAACCACTAGCCCTTTCGATTTTTAGAACATTAAATAATATAGAAAACTTGATTACAAATAAAAAATTGAAAATTCACATTTTAACTATCCTCCAGACTATATTTTACCTTTTAAATGAAATGAGCCACATATGCAAATAAATACCTAAAATTAAAAATCGAAAATTCGTTTATTTTGTACTTTTTTCGATTATCCGGATAGGTACTTGCAACTATATTAGTCCGGATAATAGGGTCTCCAATCTAATTGAAATTTTGTAAAGTTTAATTGAAAATAATTAATTTTTCCTTAGCAATTTTTTATTATAGATTTTTAAAATTCAATTATTTTCAATAACAAATTTTCGAAAATATAAAAACGTTATTAAAATTTTTTACAATTATTTTTAACATTTGGAGAGAACAATCGTGTTACAAAATTTTAATTAAAATTATTAAAAAAATTTTAAAAATTAATTTTTTTAAGATTTTGCAAAAAGTTTTCAAGAAATTAAATTATTTTCGAAAAATTACATAACATTTTTAAAAAACTAATTCTTAGACTTGTTTTATCATAATTGTTGAATATTCAATTTTTACAGGGTGTCTACTGAAAATATGACTTAAAATTCCAGGACATTCTCCGAACATTCCAGGAAAGATTTCTTATTTTTCCAGGACATTTATATTATGTATAACAGGGTTGCCACAAGTCAGGGAAGTCAAGGAATTCAGGGAAAAGTCAGGGATTTTTATTAAAAGTACTGGAAAAAATTGAATTTTTAGAATTTATAGGAAAATTCTGAATTTTTGTGTTTTTTTTGTTTGCCTTATAAACTATGAAATTGTCAAGAATTCTAATACAAACCCTTCAATTTTTTCTATTTTTGACAATAATTTATTTTTAAATAACTTCGCATAAATTCAATTATATTCAAAATTTTTTTTAAATTCTCGACAAAATTTCAATTATCTTTATAAATAATAAAATTCTTCTCCAAAATTCAATTATTTTCAAAAAATTTAATAAAATTCTTGGCAAAATTTCAATTATTTTCAAAAAATTTCCTCATTTCAATTATTTTCGATATCTACTATTTTAATAAAATTTTCCAAAAGAATTCTATTATTTAAACAAAATTTTAATAAAAATTTAACAAGAATTCAATTATTTACCAATTTCTTCGCATCAATTCAATTATTTAAAATTTTTTAATGAAGTTTCTCGAAAGAATTCAAATATATAAAGAAAATTTTAAAAAATAGTCTGAAAAATTCAATTTTTCAAAAAATTTTAAATAAAATTCTTTTAATAATTTTATTAATAAAAAAGTCGTTGCAAGAATTCAATTATTTTCATAAATAACAAGAGTTATCGCAGAATTTCAATTATTTTTATAAAATTTTAAATAAAATGATAGAAAATTGCATTTATTCTTACAATTTTTTTTTAAATTCGCCGAAAGAATTCAATTATTACTAAAAATTTTGATAAATCTTCATAAAAATTCAATTTTAAAAAATATTTCATATTACGATTAACATAATTTAAATTAACCTACTTGAACAAAAATATTTATTTTATTATAAAAAAAGTTAAAAATCAATATTGTATATACCAGTTTCTTTAATCAAATGACAAATTAAAATTATTTTTTGATGGATCAAAAAAATTATTTTTTTAAATTTGAGTAAAATTTTAAAATTACTGAATATTGAAAAGCAAAATATGGAAAATTCAAGGACAAAAGTTCAAAATCCAGGACATTTCCAGGAATTCCAGGACTTCAAGGACCAGTAGACACCCTGTATAATTATCTTCGAACAAAGTAAATTAACATTTTTAAAAATTTCCTTTTTTAGACTTATTAAAATTTTGGAGAAATTTCGATTGTTTTTTATGTTCTTCAAAAATGTAATTATTTTTAAAAGATTTTACCAAATTTTAATTGTTTGTCAATTTTTGAATTGTATATAATTTAAAAAACTATCATCAATCAAAAATTTTAAAATATTTCAAAAAAATTAATTTAAAGAATTTCTTTAGAATTTTTTAAAAGTATTAGGTATACATTAATAAATGTTTTAAAAAAACATAAAGAGTTAAAGTTACAGTTTAGTTAAAAATTGTAGAAAATAATTGAATTTTGGAAGGGTTATAGTTGTAATTTTTGGAAATAATTAAATTTCAGAAGGTTTTAAATTAATTTTTTTTAAATGTTATTCCCTGTGGAAAAACAGGAAGTATTTAAATATTTATTTAAAAAAATTATTCAAGTTTTGAATAATTGAATTTTGAAATCAGTAAAAAATCAGAGAAGTACAAAATAAAATTTTTGGAACACTGAATTAAATAAACGACTTTTTTAACATTTTTTCTATTTTTAATCGACTTAAGCTACTTTTTTTAGACTTATAGTCGATCCGAGGCCTGCATATTCTTTAGATGCTTATTTTATAATAAATATTAAAATATTTTAAAAATTCTTTTTGTTCAGTGATCCTAATACCTTTAAACTCATTCCTGCAAAATATCTATATTAATATAATAATCGTTGTATTCTAATCTGCTAACAGTTTGAAGTTTTGCAAAGAATCTTATCAAAAATTTTGAAGAGAATTAATGAATTCATTCGAAGAATTTTTTTATTTATGAAAATAATTTAATTCTTGCAAAGAATTTTACTATTTATAAAAATAATTGAATTGTTTCGAAGGATTTATCAAGATTTTATGAAATAAATGAATTTTATGCAAATATTTGAAAATAATTAAATTCTTTTGAGGAATTCTATTAAAATTGCTATGAAAAAAATTTAATTTCTGCAAAAAATTGTATTATTTATATAAGAATAATTAAAAAGATCCAAGAATTTATTAAAATTTTAGGAAAAATTGAATTGTTTTGAAGAATTTTATAGAAATATTTGAAAATAATTAAAATTTTTTCGAGAAATTCAATGAAAGTTGTTTCGAAAATAATTGAATTCTGTAAAATTTTTTATTAAAATTAAGCATATTCAAAATAATTGTATTTACCAGAAGAATTTAATATAGAATTTTTTAAAAGTATTTTGAGAATAATTGAATTAGTTTTTGAAAATTTTTAATTCTGGTTGAAATTTAATTTTATGGAAATTTTTGAAAATAATTAAATTCTTTCGTGTAATTTTTATTTTAATTGGATTAAAAATAATTTAATTTCTACAAAAAATTTTAGTATTTATAAAAATAGTTAAATTGTTTGAAAGAATTTATTAAAATTTTAGGAAATAATTGAATTTTATGGAAATATTTGAAAATATTTGAATTCTGCCAAGGAATTTAATTAAAATTGTTTTGAAAATAATTGAATTCCTGCAAAGATTTTATTATTTAAAAAATTATTGAATTGTTCAGAAAGATTTATTAAAATTTTAGAAAATAATTGTATTCTTGCGAAGAATTATATTAAAATTTTTGAAAATATAAACAATAATAATTAATTTTGTACTTAATAAGTGAATTTTTAAATTTTAATTATGAAATTATTTTAAAATTTCTATTTAAAAATAAAAAATTTTGCATAACAATTATCATTTGCTAGTTATAATATTATTTTTTAAAATTAGTCGGCGACGACTTTATTCGAAATAACGAGACGTCGAATTGATATTTTCTATGTAATTTTTTTGTGACAATATTTATTATAACCTTACAATTGGTTGCAGGTTTTACTTTGAAATTTTTTACATATGTAATTGTTATAAACACCATAACCTATAAGTTTACATTTCTTGTCTATAGGGAAATAAATTTTCATTCAGTTACTTATGGAAAATTACATAAACTTAAATAAGTCTCATTCTGTCCATAAAATAACAGATTATAAAAAAAGTTTGCACTTTAGTAAAGAAAATTTTATCAATGCCTTTTACAATGCATAACATTTTGAAAAGAAATTACAAAAATGTTCACTTCCTGCTAATTTCTTTAAAATTTTTGAATTCTCCTTTTAAAAATAATCTTCTCTAGAGTTTTGAAGGATTAAAAAAAACAATGGAATATTATTTAAGAACAAAATGTTAATTGAATAAATAATAGTGACTGAAAAGGAAAACATTGTAAAAATATGTAAAAAATGATTAAACCTTACCAAGAGCCCCACAATCAGCACATAAATCCACTCTATGTTTAAGACGGGCCATTTTAACCTGCACTTCTAAATATAACTTTTCGTATACCTTAAATGTTTACAATCACCAAAAATAACAGAAAATTATAGTTTATTAGTTATGGCTAAATTGTCTTTTGGTGATTCATGTTTGAAAAATGTCCATTAGTTTACACGTATTTTACAATGACTTCTTAATTGAGTACTGTATAAATAAGCGTGACAGCATTTTAACTTTAATATTTATTAATAACTGTTTACTTTTTCTTGCTTATACCTGCAACCAAATGTGTTATATATTATATTTAGTCATTTAGAAAAAAGAACAATAGTAAAATCATCTGTCTTTTAAGGCAGAAGCACAATAGCTTCTGGTTATGTCATACGGATACGATTTGCAGCAAAAAGCGTGAAAGGTGCACTCATACCTCTGTCGAAAGAGAAAAAAATTTACCAGGAAAATTCAAAATCGCGTTCACACGTAGATTTTCCGAAGATATTGGAAAATCCGTTTTCATACATTTTCAAAACAGGAATTTTAAAATGTGTAATTTTTTAAAAAATAATGTGTTTTTTATTTTTACTTTGCAATGTAGATACAGCTTAAAATGCGAGATGCGTCGATTCGTAAACGCAGTGACGTCAGAAAGACGGTTGCATGTGATGGCACCTTTATGTTTTTGATGCACTATAAAATTCTGTACTAACCTTGAAATTACTAGCTTTGGCCATTTAAGTTTGCTCTTCTTATTGTTACAATTTCCATGGTTATGGATTGTCGTTATTTATACCGGTGGTTTAAATAAAAGTAGTAAGAAAGATAAAGCCACAGGAACACAAAAAGCAACAACCAACGACCAAACAGTTCTCAATTTCTTGTGTTTGTTTAAAAGAATATTTGGAATATATTATTAAAAAAAACCACAAAATGGATACTGGGGGTAAGTTCAAATTACATATATAAAAAATATATTTAACTAAATGTGTTTTCTCTATAAATTTGCTTTTGTTTTGAAAATGAAAATAAAAATAAAATGTCAATATTCGTCAAATATGATTTGTTTAATATCCAGCATATTCTTTAAACAGTGTATAAAATACATTGAAGCATTCAGAAGTAATTATGTAACTTTAAAAATAACGCGCGCGAGTTGTTTACTCTTTCAACAAAGATATAATTGTTAATAAAATTATAATTTCTTATGTTATATGTACGATTAAATTTACATTGAAAATAATAAAATGTTTAATTTCTTTTTTTTAATGAAATGATACAACTTCTTTCAATGTTATTAAAAATCTTTTTTTTAGAATGATCAATGTTTTGTTTTTAATACCAGCTATAGGTATCTAAGCTGTCACTATTTAGTCACAGATCAGTTTTTCATAAGAAAAATAATAAAGTAACCAAATTTTTACATTTTCATCACTAAATAAGAATCTTGTTCGAAATACCCGCGATCTACGAAAATAATTGTTTGATGAACAAATTATATTATTGCCCAACTCAAATTGAGACATTTATTTAACAAAGGTTTTCTTTTTATTTTATCTTTTTTTATGAAACTGAAGTTACCAACGTTTATTCAGCGAAAAAATTTTCTCTAAAAAGTTCTGGGTACAAATTCTTCTCAATCCTCACATTGGAAGCAGTGATTTTGAAATTTTTTTCGTAGATCTACCAAAAATCTCCGAATATCAACTAAAAAACCAAAACCACTTCTTTCCACGACTTGGAACCTTTGTAATTTTTTTTAAATGGCTTTTAACATTAAAATAAATAATTATCAAAAGAAAAAAATTATAACATGAACACATTATAACGTGATTTTTTAGAAATAATTGTATTTTGAAATGGTTTCAAATTGAAATCTTTGAAAATCTGAACTTTTCATACTTTTAACTAAAAATTCTGTAGAATTATTTTTTTTGAAAAAGTTGAATTGAATTTTTTTAAATTATTTGAAGTTTTTATTTTCTAACATATATTCACTTGAAGAATGTCAGAATAATCGAAATTTCGTAAAATTGAATTCTAACAAAACGATTTGAAAATTCTCAAAGAACTTTTTCAAAAATTATTTTACAAAAATAATTTAACATAGAATTTTACTTAAAAATTCTAGAAATCAATAATTGAATTGACTAGAACTGATTATATTTTTGTCAGTAATTGGTCCGTAATTTTTAATTTTTGGTCCGAGAAATTCCTATTTTTAAATACATTCACTGGTTCGAGTCCTGTTACTGGAAATTCAGGAATTTTGGAAAATTTGCGAAAAAAACTAAAATTACTAATTTTCCCGACTTGGAACCTTTTGCTTCCTAGGCGAGGAAATAATAATTTAGTTAAAATTCCTGCATTTTTGGAAAATAAAAAAAAATAAAAATCACTGCTTTTTCCAACTTGGAACCTCTTGGAATTTTTTTAAATGGCTTCTGACGTTAAAATAAATAATTATCAGAAGAAAAAAAATTGCTTCCAAGGGGAGGAATTAGCAATTTACTTGAAATTTGTAGTTTTTGGAAAATCCGTGACAAAAAAAACAAAATCACTGGTTTCCTCGCCTTGGATCCTCTTGGAAGGTTTTTTTAAAATGGCTTCTGACATTAAAATAAATATCGAAAAAAAAATCGCTTCCGAGGCGAGGAATTATTAATTAAATTGAAATTTCGTGATTTTTGGAAAATCCGTTACAAAACAATGAGAGCAACTGTTTCCGCGCCTTTCTTTTTATTTTAGGGTTTGGAGAATTTACTTGGGTCAAGAATAAACCAATTTATTGAGAAGAATTTGTATCCTGAACTTTGAAGGGGGAATTTTTTAAAAAAATTTTCGTTTGATAAACGTTGGTAACTTCAGTTTCATTTTTTCCTCCTGTTTCTTTGTTATATATTAATTTTCTTTCTTTTGTATATTCTATCATTTAATGCGCACGTCCGAAGGGGCAATTCTTATTTTTGTAAGACTACATTGTTGAAATGAATAAATAAATAAATGTAAACGTTTCAGTTAGACCGAAATTTATGCCATTGAAACTGAAGGATTTACTGAGCAGCAGTGACGACTCTAGGTCAGAGGAAGCACCGTCAACTGGTTAGTAAAAATCTGAAATTATATTATCAAGATTATGATCCACAATGTCTGAACGTTCAATTGAACGATGTTTTTTACCAATATAAACATTTCCAAAGAAACTGATTGTTATAAATAGAAAAAACAAAATTAATATTTACAGTCTTTGTAATTTATTTTTTTAATATTTGACGCAATATTATTGCAATAAAATTTCAATTTAAAGAAGAACTAGGGTAGTAAAGTTTCATGAAACTTTGGTAAATGAAATGTTTCATGAAACATTGCAAAGATTCAAATATAGTGTTGGGAAAATTCAAATTGTTAGCAAAAAAATATTGACAGTCAGATTAAGAGAAGCTTCACTTAATACTTCCCAGAAATTTGTTTTTAAAACAATATTTTTTAAACTCTTGCTCAAAATTTTTTCTACTGTTTCATCAACGCAAGGCTCACGAAGGGAAGATTTATTTTTTTCAACACTGCTCATGCAAAAGAAAATGCAGCCAAATCTTGTTTTTCCAGGCAATTGTAAGGCAGGTTGTTCAACAGTAGATCCTAGAAATTAGTGGAACGAAATATTGATGTTTACAAATAATACTTAAACAAAAAATTTATTTGATTTATTAATTATATGGGTGATTAAATTTAAAATGTCATTTTTGATCCTACTAACTTTGATTTTTCGATGTTGGATTTTGAACTTAACCCCTTGACTGTGGATGACGTGTATACACGTCATGAAAAAAACTGGCCCAAACAGTGGATGACGTGTATACACGTCATGGCCCGAACAAGAAAACATCTTAACGTATATTCGCAAAAATTTTTACTCGGGGGTTTTTGGGGTCGCTGATCACGATTCTGAAGTCAGATTTTCAAAATAAATCATTTTTCATCCAAAATGGCCGCCAAAAATTTTGAAAAATTTCAAAAGTGGATAAATTCTTTTAAAAATTTTTACTCGGGGGTTTTTGGGGTCGCTGATCACGAATCTGAAGTAAGATTTTAAAAACAAATAATTTTTCATCCAAAATGGTCGCCAAAAATTTTGAAAAATTTTAAAAGTGGATAAATTCTTTTGATAATTCTTACCATTTAAACTTTGAAAAGCTAATAACAGATTCGTAATCAGCGACCCCGAAAACCCCCGAATAACGAATTTTAAGCGTATTCAATGAATTTTTCAAAATCGTGTCCGCCATTTTGGATCCGCCATTTTGAATTTTAAAAAACTAATGTCAGATTCGTAATCAGCGACCACGAAAATCCCCGAGTAACGATTTTTAAGCGAATCCAATGAATTTTTCAAAATCGTGTCCGCCATTTTGGATCCGCCATTTTGAATGTTTGAAAACTAACACCGGAATCGTAATCAGCGACCCCAAAAACCCCTTAGTACCTATTGTCATGAAAATTTATTTACAAGAAGGTCTTACACATTTTGGGACCATTTTGTTATATTTTAGCTACACACTGAAGGGGTTAACGATACTCTATTTTGGTTGACTAGAATATATGATAGACAAAAATAATAGTGGTCGAGCAGGTGGAAGCAAATTTTAATTTTCATCAGGTGAAAAACGATAGGCAGAAATGATAAGAAATTTTCTGTTTTCGTTTATTCTCTTCTTAAATAAATTCTTACAACTTTAAAAAGTTAAAATATTTCAAATTACAAAAAAGAACGTTTCAACATGACTTAAAAAATATTTGTAATGAGTTCTGCCATAAATTATATACTTTTGAAGACCATATAAAAACATATGAACATTAAGGGACACCACTGACATTTTTGAAAGATTTCACTGATAATTTTTTTTGAATACGGAGAATAAAATCAGCTTATAAATTACAATCCAGTATCAAATCTTCATTAACTGCATATAAGGAGTAAATTTAACACAAATTTATTAAAAATAAAATAATAAGCTGCAAGAAACAGAATTTTGAGGGGACACCACTGACAAGGGACACCACTGACATTTTGCTTCATTTCTCAATTTTGAAAAAGAAAGACTTTATTTTTAAGTTAAAGTCGGTGCGGTTTTTAAACCGTAATATAATTGTAATACCTGAAAACGAGATACAATAATATTTAAAAAATATTAATATTATGAGCAATTTTTCGATGGGGACACCACTGACATGGTGTGCTCGACAAAGTGTTACTTGCTTTCTGCCACCAACCGTACAAGTTATAGATGTGATAGAATATTGTAATGTTTTTTCTTTAAGAAGCTATACATATCACCAATACTATTAACGCTTAATAAGGCAATTATCTGCACTAGGTTATTTAAATATCAGACATGATATTGAAAATTTGCGATAATTACTTAAAAATATGAAACTTACGGACAGGCGATTTTGATTTTTTTTCTAGCACTGGATCAAAATTATTCTGCTAGCACAATTACTATATAAAAATATAGACTCTCAGCTGTACAAAATAATTTTTCTGGTACTAAAAATGTGAGAATCAAAATTTTTATTATTAGGTAAAGTTCTGATTTCTTAAGTACGGACAGGGGACACCACTGACATTTTGCTTCTAATTCTTCTGCCAAATTTTTTCAGAGAATTTCTAGCGACTAAGAATTATTAATTTAAGTAGAAGGAGTGATTAAAAAAATTAATTGACTTCAAAAACTTTTATATATGAACTAGTATTCCAGATTTTTGGGCAGGACATGAAAATGACATTTTAAATTTAATCACCCATATACAATTAAAAATAATAAAGTTAAGCGTATCATAAGATGAAAATCGTTAAAATTGCGATATGTTACCTGATTGATTTGCCTTTTCATTGATTACGGTTTGTTTTTCGTTAAAGACTGCTAACAAAATTTTATTATTTTTTATTTCCTTAACGATGTTTGAGCAATGATTTTTTACTTCGTCAATGACCGCAACTTGAGAACAAATATCTTTAAAATATGAGAGTAAAAATTTCTGAACTGGGCTACCTAAAACCAACTTTTTAATTTTGCACTATGTCTATACATAATTTGTGACAGCCGGGCGATACAAAAACATTCCCCGAATGCGTTTTCAAAAATTTTAATTTTTCATTTAGTTATAAACAATAAAACTTTAACAAACCTGTTTAGATAATTCACTATTGCTTTGTTGTTTTTTTTATTTTATTTAATATTTAATAGAGATATGGGTGATTCTTCACTTAGTCGTCACTTTTGCTTTCCCACTGTTCCCTATTTTATAACTTTAACAATTATTTTCTAATCTGCTTCCAACTTTTACACAATTAATATTTAGCATATTTTTTATATAATATTATAATCGAAAAAAATTTTTTATTTTAAACGGGAGTTATGACTTAATTGGAAATTACCCAAAAGTGCACTTTTCTCGATTCCCTACACAGAAATCATGAAGTTTAATATGGTTTATTTTACACAAAGCCTATTTTAATCTTGTTTTTATTTCTTCCATTCGAAAGTTCATCTCAAATAGTAAGTTTTCTTGTGTTGTTTTCCAATTTTCATTAATAAAGGCCGTAGCAGCATAAGCATGTAAAAAGTGCCCCCTCTTGGATTGGGTCCATATTTAAGGAATAATTTTGACCTATTATGAGACTTATTTTCATCAAGTTTTAACTCGAAAAAAATTTTGTTTTTGAGTTATACAATTTTTTGAAAAATTCAAAAAATTTTTATCCCTCCAAAATGGTTAAACCGATTTTCATGAAATAATTTTTTTGTACAATACAATATGAACAGTTAATAAAAAAAATTTTCGACCAAATTCTAACAAAGAAAGTCAGTAAAAAGTCAGTAAAAAAAAATTTTTTTTTTATTTTTTTTAATTGAAATTTTTTTTGCACAACCGCCATTTTTTTTCTATAAAATAATAGTCATTTCAAAAACAAAAATTTTTTTAACAAAAAATTTTTAATTATTATTTATAACTCTTGACAAAAAATTCTTTTCGTACATATAATTCCATTGAATTCAAAAAAATATTATAACAAAAAAAAATTAAAATTAATTATATATAAGCTTGTAGCATTAGGTTGACATATGCACGCCTGTTCAACTATCAATACAACGATGCTACACACTTATATATAATTAATTTGAATTTTTTTTTGTTATAATATTTTTTTGAATTCAATGGAATTATATGTACGAAAAGAATTTTTTGTCAAGAGTTATAAATAATAATTAAAAATTTTTTGTTAAAAAAATTTTTGTTTTTATTATTAAAAATATTGTATTTTAAAAAAATATAAAATCATTTTTGGATTCAGCGTAAAACAATACATCAAATTAAAAAAAGAATCATTAAAATCGGTAAATAATTAACGAAGTTATGACCATTTTTGCAAATTTGAAAGGCTGAATTGAGTTGTGGCGGCGAGAATCACGCTCCTTCGAGTACCCCCACTCCGACGTTCAGAGGTTGAAAAAAGGATACATTTACTTTTACTTGATATAAATTAAAAATAAATGCACAAAACCTTATGTCCAATTTTTTTTCATAAAATACATACATTGAACTATAAGTGGTATGAATTGCAATTAAAAATATTGATAATTAACTAGTCAGGAATTTTTTGAAAAAAATAAACTAACTCCCCCCTCCTTGAAGCTAGGTCGGATTTTTTTTTGGAAAAGTTTTGTGAAAACGAATGAAATTTAATTCCCTTTACACCAAATCGATAAAGTGAAAGTTGACTGAGTTATTCCATTTGTTTATGTCAAAAAAACATACCCTTTTTTAACGTCTATTATTATGCACTTTGATAAGAAAAATCAATTTCCCATTTAAATGGAATCAAAGTTTGACTCCTAAACTGTACTCTCGAAGAAAAAAAAACTAAATTCGCAGGTCCAAAAGTGGGGAAATTCTGTTGAAAAATTTCATGTTTTTAGTTAACAAATGGAATAAAACATAAACTATTTGTCCGATCGAGTTGACTTTTTTTTAAATTTATTCAGCTTCGCAAGGAGAATATTCCTGGTGAGTTGTAAACAAATTCAATAATTATTAAC